CATCTATCCACGCATCCAACCACGATCTTCCATCCATCTATCCACGCATCCAACCACGATCTTCCATCCATCTATCCACGCATCCAACCACGATCATCCATGCATCCAACCATGATCATCCATCCATCATCCATGCATCCAACCATGGTCATCCATCCATGTATGTGAAAATAAGGTGCTGCTTTAACAGGTCATTTATTTCTAGGAGCAGAGACATGTGGAGGAGTCCTCAGGGCGGGAGGTGAAGAAGGTGAAGTCATTTGTGTTTGGTTAAAACTTGTTAAGTCGCATGTTTTGATAAGTTTGTGAACTTTCATTAAATCTCATTACTTGTCATTACTGTTTCTCTTGGGAAGGTCCGGAAAGCGCGAAACCGGCGGCAGGAGTGGAACCTGATGGCTTATGACAAGGAGCTCCGCCCAGATGCTCGAGTCACGCCATCACCTCACCATACATCTGACGGCTCAGTGTCACCCGACAGGTAAACACCTGCATGTTCACACCTAGTTCCCAGTCCAATAAGCTGACATCAGAACTTTAACTCCTCCCCCAAAGGTCAGGGATGTCAGATGACCTCTCCTTCCCGGCCAGTCCTCACCACGATGGGCATGATAGAAAAGATCATGCTGACATGGCGACCAGTGGGTCTGGGCAAACTCAGTCATTGGACCGTGCCCTCAGACCCACCTCCGCAGTATCCGCGGCAACCGCTCGCCAGCACTCTCTGGGCCGCAACCAGCCGCATCAGCATCACCATCGCCCACAGCTGCTCACTGGTCCAGCCAATCAGAACGGAGCACGTTCCAACATGGCAAAGGAAGCCAAGTAAACACACACTTACGTTCAAATTATAATCACTATCATTATGCACATATACATGTTTGACCTTTAACCTCCATCCCTCCTCAGTGATCATCAAATCCCTCCGGCCCCTCCACCGCCTCCACCTCTCATGCCATCAGCAGGACAGGTGGTGTTTCCAAACAGCTCCATCCACATTGCTGCTATGGCAACACCATTGCACCCTGCAGCTGTGCCTGGTAACCAAGGTAACAAGCACCCAGCTATTTTTTGGTTTCTGATAGCGCTTTTGCATGTCCACGTGAAATCAAGAGCTCCTGCTCTTTTCTATCCACAGGTGGCACTGCTGCCCAGCCCCACCCCTATAGCCCCTCCCCTCCACCACTACCCCCAGCTAACTACATCCCCTCCCCCTCCCGTCCTAGCAGCCAAGCTCCCTCCTCTGCTGCTGCGCCCCCGGTGCCCCCGGCGGCGGATGGCAGGAAGCTAGCAGCTGGACTGAACGTGCCAATGAATGACGCCCGCAGTGACCTCCTCGCCGCTATCCGCAGAGGTCAGTCAGGACGCAGGCAGTTCACAGATTATAGAGGTGGTCACTGGGTGATGCTCGTCTGGTGTGGGCGGGTGTGGCCAGGGTGACCTTGTGGGTGTGGTCCGACAGATGTGTGTGTGATCTGGTGTGGATTGGTGTGGTCCTGCGTGTTGATGCAGTGTCTCGTGTCTGCAGGGATCCAGCTGAGGAAGGTTCAGGAGCAGCGCGAGCAGGAAGAGGCCAAGAAACGAGAGCCGACAGGAAACGACGTTGCCACCATCTTGTCACGACGTATTGCCGTGGAATACAGCGAATCAGAAGAGGAGTCTGAGCCTGAGGACCAGGAGTGGTCCGACTAAGGAGGAGGAAGAGTGCGCCAGACAGGAAGTGACTCGTCAGAGAGCCGAAACTTCTTTCTTGTTTTCCTGTTTGATGTTAATGAGTCAGCGTGGCATCCAATGGTGTTTTATGAACCTGCTGATGGTGACACACAGAAACTTTATTGACAGCAGCAGGTTTAACAGACGTTACTCAGAAAATGAACCCTTGGCACAGCGCGCCCCTCAGGACGCCGACCGTCTGTGTTCGTGATGAAACAAAAGTTGACCTGGATTTATGTATCACTTTGCTGCTTGGACATCAAATGTCATCATTTTCAATTTATCAGAACTTTTAAAAATACATTTTCAGTTTTTAATATTTTTGTTTATTTGTTTTTACATTTTATTTTGTTTATATTTTATTCTTCATATTCTTTATATTTGTTGCTTTAGTTTTTATATTTCTTTTATTTCTTCTGTTATGATGCATCTTGTTCTACAGTGTGAGATGCGATGTGATGACATAGTAACTACTGACATCATGCATAATCATCCCTGCTGCTGTGGAGAGGGGGCGTGTCCTCCCTGTCCTGTACCATGTGTGATTGGCTGTTCGTGCCGTGCTGTTTCTGTGACCTGCATGTGGGTGAAAAAAACTGAAAATAGAACAAAAGTTATAGATAAAATCAAGAGTTGATTTTTGTGATTTATTTCAATCATTAAATATTTAAAGTCTCTTTTTAAAACTTGTTTTATTAGTTTTAATCTTTTAACTTTATGCATCAAGGAAAAATTACGTTATATTCAACGGTCTTTGACTTGAAGAAATGTGTTTAACATTTAAACCTATTTCCTGCATATAAAATAACAATATTTGTGTTTACGTTCACTCCTTCAAATAGATGCAAGTAAAATACAGCAGGAACGTGTTACCTCACCATACATCTGTCTCCTTTCCTCACCTCCTGCTGAGGACTAGGGAAAAGAGAAGTGGAACAACCTCACACTCTCTCTCCTTGATGGTGTGAGGATGTCCGCCGTGTTGAAACTTCAAACGTGCATCGTCCTCTGTCTCAGCGTGTTCTGTTGTTTGGTGGAGGTCATATGAACGAGAACAGCCTGTGTAAATATCCTTCACCACAGAGGCGGGAATTTTAAAGCCGGAGGAACATTTGGGTCCGATTTACTGCCTCACAGAGACAAACAGAGTCCGTGCTGACAGCTGTGAACAGCAGCACTTTGGGCCTTATGCACGTGTTTGCTTCACTCCCAGGAGAGAATTTTAAACGTCGCTTCAAACTCTGTCACACACAGGTTACTGCAAACTGCACGAAATCTGCCAGTGCGTCACACTGCATTATTTTGGTTAGTAGGCTCTTTTGTGTTTTTGAGTCACATATTCTCTCTGCTGATTCTTACTGAAGCCAACTGGCTGCATTTCTGTATATAAATTACAATACAACTATAAAATGAAATCCATATCATGTTCTTATATCTTCCTGCTGTGGAGGTCGTTCCCTGTAAAATTCCTCCATCATCACTGATCCCAGCTGACCTGAAGTAAACAGACTGTAACACAACAATAGTCATTACTAATGAACGCTCTTCATGCAGGAACCACTCAACAGGAAGTAGTTTGTATTCCAGCAGTGTGACGTTCAGGGTTCAGCTGCTGATAAAAACTAGAAATACATCAGCACCTTATGGCTGAAATGGAAAATGGAACGTTATGATGAACGTTTACATGATCTGCTCTGCTTTGGTTATGTTTTTCATGAATGGTCGGATGGGATGGCGTTTTCTCCTCTCCTTTCATCAAGGATGCTTTGGTGTATCCTACTCTAAAGGGAGCACTAAAGCTCCTTTCCATGGAGTTTGGAGAGGTGGAACAGCTCCGATCATGGTCACGTATCTCAGTGAGGAACACGCCCACAGTTTCTGCTGAAGTCATCGTTACAGTGAGCGACGCTGGTTTCAGCCTGATGATGACATCAGGTGTGTTGTTGTTTAAAACGGGTGCAGTGTACACGTTTTCACACTTTTAATTCTGTTCACCTGGACGCCGAGTTTTCAGTGGTGGATCTGCTCCGTCATTTCAGCCTTACCTGGATCATCGGGCATGCATCGAGACAGAGGAATGTTTTTGTACTGTTAAATAAAGTTTTGATACAAAGCTTTGATAATGAGGAAGAGTCAAATTTACATTCATCCATTTATATACTCGTCTCAGTTCTTCCTGTGGGGGCAGGAGAGTCCAGTACTGCAGTTATTTCCCACAGAGAAGAAGAGCAGCCGCCAGAGCGGAAGTGAGAAAAATCAGCGGGAGCGGAGCGTCATTTCTGTTTGAGTACCGCCGGGTTAAAGGTCACGCCGTCACCGACAAACACACACACAGCCGGGAAGAAGCTCCGAGAGCCAACTCTGCTAACCAGCGGCTTCCTGCTCGAGTGAGTCTCTGCTCCTGTACGGAGAGACCTTTGTGGTGAAGGCGGAACAAGCGGCTCAGCTCCGGTTACAGTCCGGTACCGCCTCACGTTGCACTGCAGCCCCTTTTCCATTTGTAGCTGCTCGGCTCGGCATTCAGGGTTTTACATTCAGTCACAGTTCCTGGTAGTGATGGGCAGATGAAGCTTCATGAAGCACTGAAGCTTTTCATCCAGTTGGTTCATCCCAGTGCAAGGCGTCTTGAAGCTTCATTTGCTCTAGTAGGACACCTACTGGACGTAAAAATATTAGTTGGCATGAATTTGAAGAGTTTGGCCTTTTGCACACAGCCTGTAAATGTCAACAACAAAAGGAGTGTGTAAAACATCTATATTGTAGTGATGCAGTATACTGTGTATATTTATACTGGCAGTATGGAAATGATCATTTACTGTGAGGTGAGGTGAGGTGTGGTTGGGGTGTGGACAGTGGTTGTGCTTTTGTAACGTTGAGGTATGGACAGCTACACACTGAGGCCTCAGTCCTGCCTGTTCACATTTTATTCTGTAAAAACTACATTTTCACTGCTCTTGTGACCTTTCTAGTGGGGAGAACATAGCTAGGATTTAATGATTTAACAAATCTTTTAAATCCTTTGTGCTCCACAATGCTAAATGGCTGGGAGTCCTCAATCAGTAAAAACAAAGCACAAATATAAATATCACACGTAACTTATTATAGTTGTATAATATTGTTATATCATTTAGTAACATTACAGCATGCTATATTATCATTGCATTTGATGGCTCACCTGCTCTTGCTCCACAATCAGTGTCCCCCTTATTCTCATGCAAAGCTCTGTAGTGCCTAAGCATGGATGAGGTGTTGTTGTTATATCCCAGCTCCCTGGCACATAGCAAACACTTCACCTTGTACAAAAGTCAAGACAGCTTAACATAAATTGTATTGCACCATCAGTATTATGAAAATACATCTTCTGTAGAAATTTGTAGGTGGCACGGTGGTTAGCACTGTTGCCGCACAGCAAGAAGGTCCTGAGTTCAATTCCACCATCAGGCCGGGGTCTTTCTGTGTGGAGTTTGCATGTTCTCCCCGTGTTTGCGTGGGTTCCCTCCGGGTACTCCGGCTTCCTCCCAACGTCCAAAGACATGCAGCTTGTGGGGATAAAAATGGAAAAATGGAAAATGGCCTGTATTTATATAGCGCTTTACTAGTCCCTAAGGACCCCAAAGCGCTTTACACATCCAGTCATCCACCCATTCACACACACATTCACACACTGGTGATGGCAGCTACATTGTAGCCACAGCCACCCTGGGGCGCACTGACAGAGGCGAGGCTGCCGAACACTGGCGCCACCGGGCCCTCTGACCACCACCAGTAGGCAACGGGTGAAGTGTCTTGCCCAAGGACACAACGACCGAGACTGTCCAAGCCGTGGCTCGAACCGACAACCTTCCGATTACAAGGCGAACTCCCAACTCTTGAGCCACGATCGCCCACATATATAGGTTAATTGGATAATCCAAATTGCCACTAGGTGTGAATGTGCGACTGAATGTGAGTGTGAATGGTTGTCTGTCCCTGTGTGTTGGCCCTGCGACAGACTGGCGACCTGTCCAGGGTGTACCCTGCCTTTCCCCCCATGACAGCTGGGATAGGCTCCAGCGCCCCCCTGCAACCCTGAAAAGGATAAGCGAAAGCAAATGGATGGATGGATGGATCTTCTGTAGAAATTTACATACCTTGTTGGGAGGAATAAAATAACAATGTTCCCACACAGGGGAGGACATCCTCCTCTTCTTAGCTGGCTCCATTCTCTCCTGACTTTCATAAACCTCCAAACTCTCACTAACCGCAACTCTCCATCAAACACCCACATTTTGAATGAAGTCTGAGGGGTTTATATCGCTGTCATAGCTCGCGGCAAAGTTCGAACCACTTCCTGAACCAGTCACGTGGTACAGCTGGGCAGCGAGGCTTCGGACGTCATCATTTTCAGCTCCTCCCATCAATGAAGCAAGCCTCGATACGCGTATCGCGGAAACGCCCCCTCCAATACTCGACACAAGCTTTGAAGCCTCGATACAGAACGTCACATCACTAGTTCCTGGTACTGTTTTAGTACCTGCTCGGACGGGTTCCAAGCGATCCGAGCAGGTATTAAACTATTACGTCATCGGACAGCATGCCACTGATTGGCTGGTCAGTGGTGTCACTCGATGGGTCATGAGAACATCTACTTCACAAAAAAACGAGAGAAATGTGTTCTGGGAATCCATCCAACCTCACAAACCATCCTACCTGTTTTTCCTGCGCATGTGCACAACACAAAATTAAGTGGCAACCCGTCCTATCTACTTAAATTTATGCTGGAATTATTGTGTGACCGCAGGAATGTACGCTAGGACGGTTTGCTCCAAGAAACAATGCCGTGCTCCCGGAATCTGACAAACAGCCCCCGCATTCGTGTCACATTTTAATTAAGATTACACGTTGCTATAACAACGAGCACCCATATTAGATGGTACTGGTTATAGTGGAAAACCAGTGGAGTCGAGTTGTGGCGAGTCGAGCAGGCACTAATGCAAAAGGGGCTAAAAAAAAAAAAACCTGAAAATGTTTCATACGTCTGAAAAGTGCGTCCTGTTTGGGTGCGCTTGTTTTGCAGACATGGCGGTGCAGGTGCCGTGCCTGTCGTTCCGGCAGCCGTATGCCGGCCTGGTTCTGGACGGGGTAAAGACGGTGGAGAGCCGCTGGAGGCCGCTGCTCGCTCCACTGGAGAACCAGACGCTGGCGGTCCACGTGGCTCAGCGTAACTGGGAGGGGTCGGACTGGAGGGCGGTGGTAAGCGGCCTGCTGGGGATGGACAGCGCTCAGATTGAGGCACTTCTGGAGTCCGGGGAGCGGTTCGGCCGCGGCGTGGTGGCAGGTTAGAATCCTTATTTACTCTGCCACATTTACACATCCCTGAACGAACCCTGTGGTCTCTTTTAGGATTGGTGGATGTGGGCCGGACCTGGCTTTGCCCCGCCTCCCTCCAGGGGAAGGACCTACAGTGCCTGGAGCAGTCGGCCGTGCTGATTGGTCTGCAGGAGAAGCACCTGACTAACCTGTCCAACCCTCGCTGGCTGAAGGCCCCACTGAGAGCTCCGGGAGGTCGCGACCTCTGGACCATAGAGATCCCAGCAAAACTGTTACCGTGACAATACATACGTAACCTACCCGAGGCCGGAGCGACTTCTCTGTCATAGTACATTGGTTTTTACAGCTGATCATTGATCTGTGATCAGAGTGGTGGCGCTGACCTCAGATCAGGTCACTGTGATGTCATCAGCACACCTGATTTTTGTGGTCGACCGAGGTCTTCCATCTCTGAGGGTGGGGTGGGGGTCAGACCAATGATCTGAGCTCCTGGGGCCGTCGTCCCGGAGCACCAGAGGCTTCACAGCAGCTCGATAAAAGTCCAACCTGTCCAGTTCTTTGTTTCTTTGAAATGATGGAACCCGTCTAATCCCAGATTTTTCACTGCAAAATAAGTGAATGCATTTCACTCCTTAGACTTGTCCTACTCACTGTATGTTTAATTTTGTTGATGTGTGGGGGTTAAAACGGCAACTGTTGCCGGTGGGTTAATAAGGACACGTTCCAAACGTCCAGTGTTTGTGTAAGTAACCTACCTGTGGTGCTGTTATCAAGCAGCTGTATGTTACACTGAAATTAAAAGGTAATATTTTGCTATGCTTGCTGTTCTGCTCATTGTTCTCTCGCTGTTTTAGAAAACAGTCTGTGCAGAATTGTTGTAATTCAGTCACACTGGAGGGTTTAAAGCATGAAGCCGTCAGGACTTTGACTAAACCAGGATGGTAAACTGCAGAATTCATGGTTCCATCAACAAAACAAATGGATAAACACACAAACAGACCTCTAATCCAGGTAACTGCATGTTACCATGGTAACTTATCATCAGGTATGAAACCAGCACCCGTTAACCAATCAGATCTATAAAAACCACAGTGATCAATACACATACAGTATAATTTAAACATGTATCAGGCTGAGTCAACACACCATCTGCAGATTTTCATACAACCTGTGGCGCTCTTCTCTGTGAAACAAGCGGCGGTGGATGGAGCAGCTACATCCACGTGAGCTCATCCCGAATGATGATGTCACCATAAGCAAATCCAGATAAAGAGTTCCTGGGCTGAGGGACGTCCCTCAATCACCGCGTTTCTGTTCTTGGCTGTGACGCCACTTCCTGTGTCAATAAAGGTTTAAAAAATGACGACAGGCGACTCAGTGGGGGGGGTCGTCTCAGGCTTCGCTGCTCATCACAGGTCTGGACAAAGTAGTCGTTCAAACATCCATCAACCTTTGTCTCAGTGTAATCAGATTACTTACTGAACTTCAATGTCACAGCAGCTGTAATGGAAAAAATGCCTTTATTGATTTTAGTTTCCATGGAAACAAAGAAAATCAGAGTCAGCCTCCAAAGCTTTCAAATTTTCTGCTGCTATGAATCACACTCACCCCTAACCTGCACAGGTGAGAGTTTTCTACCTGAGAGCTCAAACTGACACACTGAGGCGCTGGCCCCTCGCCAGAGATGACGACCTATCATCTGTAACTCCCCTCTGATCCCCCCCCTCTCACGCCCTGTGGAGAATCGCACCTTTCTGGCTTTATTATTTTACTTCCTGTTTGCTTAAAGCATAAAAAACAGGAAGTTGATGTTTGGGACTGTTAACTGGACAATAGTCATGTGACCAGATGAAGCAAAAACGCCATCTGCTGGTGAAACAAACTTTATTCACCCAAAACCCAAACAACAAAACATCAACACAAAGAGATCCCTCCACAAATAGGGACTGGTCACACCCACCACCTCATATTGGCTGTCACAACATGAATTTTAACCAACAGCAACATCCATTAACATCCAGCCAATATTTACCTTTAAATCCTAACTTTAATTTTGAAAGTCTTGCTGCAGGAAAAGTGTTCATAATAATGTTACCACTAATTCAAAACAAAAGGGGTTTTAGCCTTGAGCTAATATGCACGTTACATAGTGGGTGGGATGTAGTGTGTGGCTGTGTGGTGAGGGGACGGGGCAGCAATGTATCCAACAACGTGAGAAGGGTTGGGGGCAGGGCAGTAGAGTCGTGGGGCGTGGCCTCCAGTCGATATTGGCCCCCAGTGGACAGAGGAAGGGAGGCACGGGTGGTAGGAAGAGTGGTGAGGGTGGTGGGCGGGATGTGGAAGAGGAGGTGCAGGGGCTGTAGTCAGGTAGGTGCTTGGGGGTGGAGCTTCATATGGCAGGTGGAGCAGTGGGAGAGGAGGAGGGAGGGGCGACTGATCTGGGTAGAGGAGAGCAGAGGAGGGGGCGGAGCCTGGAGGAGTAGGACTGATGGAGGAGGAGCTTTCCATGGAGACACCTGAGGAGACAAACCACATGCTTAAGTAAATTCGTTTATAATGCAGAAAATTTGGGTTTTAACATGGAGGCAGACTAATCATGTGACCTGACCAATGACTAACAGCGCCTGCAATTGGCCCATTGTGCTTCTGCCTTCATTTACACTGCACCTGACTCCAGAATTACTGCATCGCACTTCCTGTCTGTTGCCACGCCTGTTTGCTATGTTCATCCGGTCAAATTTCACCTTAATAACAATACAGTAGTCATTCGTTACAGGAATGTGACAGCTGGATGGTGTAGGGTTTGCCCCACCCTTCCCTCCTCATCACCCCACTCTCACCGTTATGCAGCTGTAAAGCTTCACCAACAGACCTGCTGACCTCCGGCACTTCTACACTGTTTTATTGACAAACACTTCCTGTTTTGGCAGCGTGTGCACTCCAAAGGTAAAGGTGTATCACTAGTACTGACCGCCGTTGTGTCCCTCTGTCTGTCCATCTGCAGACCTGGAGGATTCTGGGTAGGAGTTGGCAGGCTGATGGGAGATCCGCCCAGTCTCAGAGAACGGCTGGGAGGCAGCTGGGGACGGAAGATGGGACAGATCAAGTCACAGTAAAGGGGGTGGAGCTTAAATTAAAACACCTGAGGGACCATCCATGCTGTAATGACATCACTGCACACATCTTCCTGTTAGTCATGTGTTCCCCACAGTTGCCGTCTACCTGATCGCACTGTTTTATTGTGAAAGGCTTCGCTACGGAAGTGAAGGCTCAGCTAAAAGATGAAACTTGCATCTTTTGTATACAGGTGGAGGAAGTGCAGCACCACCTGCTGTAACTGATCACTCTTACCGTGCAGAGGGGGCTCCTGGCCCAGGTAGGGCGTGTAGGGCTGGTAGGGGTAGGCAGTCTCAGGTGAGGAGGCGGGATACACCTGCTGCTGTTGCTGCCAGCAGCTCTGATGGTACCACTGAGGAGACAGATGGTCACATGACGGTCACATGACAAATTCACAGCATCATGTCATCACCTGAACCTGAAACACCTGCAGAATCATCTATAAACATTCAAAGAACCTGAAGGAAACGTGTGTCTCTTTGAAACGGCAGCCACAGGTTAAAGGAGAGGAACACCAGTCACATGACCTCCACAGGACCCAGGTGATCAGAGTGTCCTTGGAAGATGTTTACCACACCTGCAAGTGACTCAGGTGCACTCAGACTTCTGCTGCTAAAACAGATTTGCCAGTGGAGGAGCTGAGCTAGTTTCAGTCATTATGTCCTGTTTATAGGTCGGAAACCTGCAGTCAGCTGAGACTGAAGGATCACCTGGATGATAACGAAAGGTTTCTCCCACTGAAAACGTTCAGAACAGAATCAACATTCTGTGATGCTCCGTGAGTTCATTCAGGCATCTCACCTTCACCTGTCAGCGCCGCTTCAAAGACTGCTGTTTACTGTTCAGGTGTCTCTTACCTGGATGCCCAAATTGAAGTAATACTGGAGGACTCTGCAGTCTATACACACACACACACACACACACACACACACATAAATCAAACTGATCCATATGGATACAAACTGTAAACACAAGCTTTTGACTTCTGACCTCTTGGTAAATCACTTCCATTAGGGTCATATGAATAAGGGGGCGGGGCTACCACAGTGCAGAGCGGCTCACCCAACTCATTAACCAACCAGGAAGAAGCAGCTGGGATCGCCATGGCAACTGGAACCAGAAAACGTGTTAGTGTATGGCAACCTACTGAGAACCAATGAGACTGTCAGACTTCGTGTCAGCTAAAGCTCTCAGAGGTGACAGAAGTCCCTCCCCCTGATATTCAGACTTCCTGTTTTACAGGTGCAGCCAATCAGAGCCAATTAAAGCGGGTTCGGGCCTTAAACAGGGCAGAGCTCTGAGAGAAGTAACTGAGGTGGGCAGTGTTTGCTTACCTGAGCGTGTCTGCGCATGTGTGGCTGACGGCAGGTGAGCAGCTGCTGGTAGCCGTGATGAGGAAGAGGAGGGTGAGGAGGAAGAGGAAGATGGAGACGAGCAGATGACTGACAGCGGCTTCACTACCTGAAACACACACACACACACACACACACACACAGCAGTGAGCGAACACCTGCAGCTCTGCAGGCAGCCACAGGGGGCAGCACATCAGGATTCTGTGATCAAAAGATCTCAATTTCTGTTTTCAGTCACAGCGATTCTTCTCGTACACACAGAACCCGCCAAGCGTTTTCTTTTTTTCCCCCTTTAATACAAAATATTTTTATACAGTATTTATGGATATAGTTTACAAAGAAAGAAAAGACGGACAACAAACTGTTTACAATGAATACAAAACAGAACTTCTCATGTTAGAACATCGTTTTCCTCTCTTATTATTTACCAAACAAGCAACGAAAAGAAAAAAACAACAAGATAACCAAAGCCAGAGGGATTATGATATTAACTAACCCTGTCCACAAGAACCACACAGAAGTTAGCTGCAACATCACTGAGCTTCACATTCCCATTAACAGACAGACATCAGACCACTATGGAGAAGCAAATCCGTTAGTCAGCTGGAACATCCGTAAGTTGAAGTTTAGAGAAGTTTTCCAGAAAGAGACCCCAAATTTTATCGAATGTGCCCTTTTGGTTCTGGATGGAGCAGTGGATCTTTTCCAGACTGAGACATGACATGAGATCAGCAAGCCACCGAACATGGGAGGGCGGGGCAGCGGCCTTCCACCTCTCAAGTCCACCTCATGGACTTGAGAATGGGAGCTGGGGTTACACTGCACAGTTTATTATAGATGCGAGACATTACAGCTTTGCCTGATAGTTGCAAATTAAGAAGCTCGTCCAGTAAGTTAGCAGCTGGAGCTTCTGGAAAATTTGAGAGGTGGGATTGCAAAAAATGTCTGCTTTGTAAATATCTAAAAAAGTGAGTTTTGGGAAGATGTATTTTCCTGCCAGCTGATCGAATGATGATAGTTTATTGTGTATAAAGAGACCTTTAAAGTAAATAATACCTGCTCTAAACCAGACCTGGAACAAGTTGTCCAAAGCTGGGGGAGGAATAGGTGGTTTGAAAGGAACGGGCTTTTAAGTGAAAAATAATTAAGATTGAAATGTCTCCTGAACTGCGCCCAAACCCTGAGGGAGTGCCGAATTATTGGATTAGATGTAAAGTTGTCAATGGATGAAGGAAGAGAAGAACCCAGGAAGGAGGCAAGAGAAATTCCCTGAGTTGAGCCTGATTCCATTGCCAGCCAGCTGGTGGGGCCCACACCCTCCCCAGACTGGAACCAGTAGGTCAGGGACCGAATGTTGGCAGCCCAATAGTAAAAGTGGAAGTTGGGGAGTGCCAGACCCCCTTCAATCTTAGGTTTCTGTAAATGCACCTTAGCTACTCCAGGTCGTTTACCCTTCCAAATATAAGAGGAGATTCCAGGAGAGTCTAGAGTTGTAAAGAAAGACTTGGGGATGAAGACTGGTAAAGATTGAAATAAGTTGGTCTCAAAGGTACGGTTTAACTTGGTTTAAATCCTACCTCTCAGAGAGGTCGTTCTCTGTTGCTATGGGGCAACACTCCTCGGCTTCTGCCCCTATTTACTGTGGTGTGCCTCGAGGGTCCGTGCTCGGTCCTGCTCTTTGTACATGTTGGGATTAATTTTTAGTAAATACAACATCTCCTTTCACCGTTATGCCGATGATATCCAGATTTATTCACCTCTGAAATCCGATGTGTCTGCTTCTTTGCAACCTCTGTTCAACTGTTTGCATGAAGTTAAATTTTGGTTATCACATAATTTTCTTACATTGAGCGAAAATAAGACCGAAATCATAGTCTTTGGTAGTCACACTCTGCTAAACCGGTTAGCTGATGCCCTAGGCCCTCTCGCTAGCCATCTCTCGCTCACTGTAAGGAACCTCTGAGTGTTCCTGGAGGGCCCTTTTAAACTTCAGAAACACGTCTCCACTGTGGTAAAAACAGCTTTTGCCAGTTGCGTCAGATATCCAAAGCAAAGCCGTTCCTTCCTTTAAAGGACCTTGAAAAGCTTGTCCACGCATTTATCACACTGCTGTAACTGCCTCTACTCGGGCCTCCAACACTCTTCTCTTTACCGGCTTTACTTAATTCAAAATGCAGCTGCGCGTCTTTTAACAGGTACGAGAATCTATGAACGCATAACTCCAATTTAAGCAAATTACATTGGCTCCCTGTCAAATATCGCATAGATTTTAAAATTCTTTTGTTCACTTTTAAAATTCAGAATAATTTAGCGCCCAGCTATCTCTCTGAACTCCTCCACTTACACAATCCCAACAGAGCACTTAGATCGTCCAATCACAGGCTCCTTGCACAACCTAGGTCTCGAATGAAGTCGAGCGGTGACCGGGCCTTTGCAACCGTGGCACCCAGACTCTGGAATAACCTCCCTGTTCATGTTCGTACTGCCGAGTCTATCCAGTCTTTTAAATCACGTCTTAAAACTTATCTTTTTACTTTGGCCTTTGATTCTAACTCGTTGGCTGTTTTAGCTTATTGTGTTGTTACCTATTGTTTGTTGTCCTGTTTTATTGTTTGTTTTAATTGTCTCGTGTTTTTACTGACTGTGAAGCACTATGGTCAACACTGTTGTTTTAATATGTGCTCTATAAATACATTTTGATTTGAAGTGTAAGAATTTAGGAAGGATATTCATTTTAATTGAATTAATTCGTCCGACCACAGTTGTGTTCAGGGGTGACCACTGTTGAAGGCTTTGTTTGACATTCTTCAATAGTGTAAAAAAGTCGGCTTTGAGAAGTTGTTTATACTTTCTTGTAATTGTAATACCAGGTAGGTGAACTGCTCCTTGACCACTTTAAAGGAGAAACCTGACAAATCTATTGGAAACGCTTCTTCATTTGATAGACAAAGTTCGCTCTTGGACAGATTTAACTTATAACCACAGACTTGACTGAAACGCGTGAGTAGAGACAATATAGACGTTAGGGAAGCATGTGCATTTGAGATAAAAAGCAATAAATCGTCAGCATAGAGAGAGACTGTGTTCAGTTTGACCTCTTTGTATGCCCTGGACAAGTTTACTGCTTCGAAAAAGCATTGCTAAAGGTTCAGTAGCTAGATCAAATAACAACGGGCTAAGGGGACAGTCCTGACGTGTGCCACGTTTGAGTTTGAATGGTTTTGATTTCTGGCTATTAGTGCAAACAGACGCAACAGGGGACAAGTATAGGCACTTGATCCATGAGATGAAGTTGGGACCGAACCCAAATCTTTCCAGCAGAGCAAATAAATAGTTCTACTCCATGGCATGAGTTGAAAGAAGTTCAAATTTGGTTTGGAGTTCAATATGTTTCTTGTAAACCTCAGAGTCCTTATTGTATGCATAGTGATGGTCCAAGTGTTTTATTTTATCGGCTAATTCTTGCCTTTCTTTGAAGTTTACCCTCTTTACATTAGCTGTATATGAAATGATCTGCCCTCGGGGATAGGCCTTCATTGAGTCCCAAACTAAAAGGCTAGAAATATTTGGGGAAAGATTGGCGTCTAAAAAGAGCTTAATTTGGTTATTTATAAATTCCAGAAAGGTATTATCAGATAGTAGTGTGGGGTTAAAACGCCAACTCCTGTCTGTTCTAGGTAAGTCAGGCATAGCCAGTCAGAATTAAAGGGGCGTGGTCTGAATAACTATGGCACGGTATTCACAGGCACATGCAATACTAGTCAAGTAGTCTATCCTAGAAAAAGTGTGATGGACGTTAGAGAAAAAGGAATACTCCTTTCAGTCAGATGCAGATATCGCCAGATATCCCTGTTCCCGTATGTAGAAAGAAAGGAATGAATGTGTTTATGTTTTTGAACTGAAACAGGAAATGCACACTCAGACTTTGTCCCGACTTCCGTTAGACCAAAACCAAGAGAAGAAGAGAGCTCGGCGCGTCACAGGAACAGGAAGTGCTCAAAGTCCATGCACCACCACCTTCAGAGGTTGCGACCTCTGGAGGATGACGTTGGACAGGCGCTTTAGGCCTGCTGTACAGGTTTTTGATTGGACGAACAATGTTTAGAGCTGTTCTCTGTCCAGCTTGTCGCCGCCCACCGAGACGAGGCGGAGCAGAGATGGCAGCTGCAGTCTGTGGCGCGGTCGCAACGATATTCTCCTCTGAAGTCTGAAGCAGGAAGTTGAACTTTCCCGGGTCTGAAACGAGACGCTCAGACTGCGAGGCAGCAGCGCCAACCACTGAGCTACCCTGGCACTGCTGTCACACACGCGATGATGTCACCTTCAAGCTACGCTGCGGGACGTACCTGCTGGCTGTAGCTGAAGTTCACGTCTGATCTCGTGGGAGAGTCAGCCACGCCTCCTTCCTGCTCATCCTTTCAAAATAAAATAAAAACAGACTGATTACAGCTTCATGGGGTCACTGATCACATGACCTCTTCACACGTGCGAATTTCAAACCTGTTTTCATGTGCAACATTATGCTGACCTGCATCACACTAACAGGAGACAGAGGTCAGCTCTTACCTGATTGGTGGAGGTCTCAGTGGCGCTGTAAACTCCGGAGGTCTGGAAACTCTGATCTGAAATAGTGTGAGACAGAGTCACCAACATGGCTGCTGCAGGGAGGCGTGTCACAGCGGGATCACGTTACTCACCCTGTGAACTGAGGATGAAGTCCTCCGTGTACTCGGCTGCATGCGGGAGACAGACACACACACACACACACACACACACACACACACACACACACACACACTTAAAGTCAGTTTCTGATGAGTTTTCACAGTAAAAACCTCTCATTAGACTTTTACTGTGAAAGGTTACTAAGGGGAAGGAAGTGATAATCTGAAGTGAGCAGTGGCGTCCTCACCCTGGTCCTCCACTGTGCTTATGTCCTCCTGCTCCTCCTCTGACGAGCACACGGGAGTGTTTCTGGGTGGGGGGGCAGGGGAGAGGGGCCCAGAGCCTCTCTGAACTCTATAGGAGGAGCCAGAGGGAGGGGCTGGGGCACCAATGGAGGGGGGAGGAGCCACAGTGGGGCCCTGCATAGGAAACAGTAAAATGTGACCTGAAAATGTTACACCTGAGTCTTCTTCTTCGACAACAAGTCTGTGACCAATCATCAGTCGCCTCACTCAAGGGCCCTTTCTATTGGCTGCCAGCAACAACCAAGAAAAGGCTGTATATAAAAGATAGACATGTTTGTAGGAATTTAAAACTGCATTCTTGTTAATGGCCTAGAGGGGGCGATAGCTGTGGTCACGTGGAAGTGGAAAAAACCTCAGTCACTCATCTCAGCTCACACACAATAAAATGGAGTCTGATGTCTCAGAGGACAAATATCTGGGACACTCTTAAAGATGTGATGTCGCTGCTTACCTCACCTGTCCTCAGTAATGTAGAATCTGGTTTTTGAGTAACCATCATTTAAACGTGTTTACCAAAAACCATGTGAAGCACACGGCCCCTCCCATCTGCCTCAGCGCTCCGTGCACACACGCGCCGCCATCATCGGAGGATTTTTCCCAGCACATACTCACTGGCAGCGGAGGGAAGACGCCGTCGCCATCGAGCTGGTAGTACGAGATGGCTGCGTCCAGATCGGCCGGCTCCTCCACCGCCTCGGGAAAACCAAACTGACACTCTTTGTTCAGAGCCGCCGCCAGCTGACGCCGACTGCGCCTGAAAAAACCACGGAGGAGAAAATAAAAACCCACCGACTGACATCACATCCTCTTTCAGGCCAGAGTGACTTTGTCTGCGATTACAGCACCTCATGTCACATGACTCGATTCATTTTAAAAACAGGAGCTGCTTCAGAGATCAGCTGACCGGTCATTCCTGGTGGTTACATCAGTGTCGTGCGTGTTGGCGTGTCGTGCGTGTCGTGCGTGTTGGCGTGTCGTGCGTTTACCGGGACCTGAAGGTGAAGCTCTCGTAGTCCTGATAATACCTGCGACCAGGATGGTAATAGGTCAGCTGAGTACCAATCAGGTGACGGTTCAGGAAACGGGTGGAGCTTCTGACCAGAAACATTTGCGCGCGTACACACACGCACGCAC